CACTTCTTTATCCATTCATCCATCGATGGACATTTGGGTTCTTTCCATACTTTGGGAAGTAGTTGATAGTTGAAAGATTGTTTCTTTCCATACTTTGGAAAGTAGTTGATAGTTGAAAGATTGTTGATTAGTGCTGCTATAAACATGGAGGTGCATGTGTCCCTTTGAAACAGCACACCTGTACCCCGTGGATAAATGCCTAGTAGTGCAATTGCTGGGTTGTAGGGTAGTTCTACTTTTAGCTTTTTGAGGAACCTCCATACTGTTTTCCAGAGTGGCTGCACCAGCTTGCATTCCCACCAACAATGCAAAAGAGATCCTCTTTCTCCTCATCCTCGCCAACATCTGTTGTTGCCTGAGTTGTTAATGTTAGCCATTCTGACAGGTGTGAGGTGGTATCTCACTCTGGTTTTGATTTGTATTTCCCTGATGATGAGTGACGTTGAGCATTTTTTCATGTGTCGGTTGGCCATCTGGATGTCTTTGGAGAAGTGTCTATTCATCAGACAGGGATTTTAAAACATCAGAAAGATTAAAAACATGTTTGGGAATTGAGGCAATAGGATAATTTGATGCCTGTATGGTATGTTTGTTTTGGCTTATTCTATATAAATCTTTAAATTTCAGTTTGATATTATTTTCTCTGCTTTGTTTTTGTCACTAAAATCTTTATGATGGGTGATGCAAGAAAATCCTGCATTTTATGTCTGTTTGAGAAGAGGTGACTATAAAGCTACACTTTGCTTTCAAAAAAATTTTAGAATTAAGTGTTAGATGAACAGTTTTAGCCAGGAAGGTTAAAATGCTGGCACATCTTTAAAAGAACAGCAATAACTTTGTATTTTTCTCCTGTGTTTTGTGGTGTTTTCTGAACTTTGTTTTTGAAAGGCAGACCTCAGTGTCTCTTAGAAAAAAAAAAGTGAAGTACTTTTTGGAGGCCCAAGATAATCCATTAAAGCATCATGTACCTTCACTTGGCATGAAGGTGGATTGGCAGTGAAATCTATCATTTCACTGATCTGTCAGGGTTGATTCAGTTGATCTTCATGTCTATGTGAATATGACCTTCCTCTTACCTCTCTTCCCCCATATGCATCTCCCAACAGAGTAGGACTGTCCTTGGGTTAAGTGGCTATGTTTGTTGATGGCATTGTTATAAGTATTAGAATGTGACTTGACACTTAGAATTGTTACGTGAACACATCTGCAGAGCTACCTCATAAGAGGGTAGAACGAGTCCTCTTCTCCCCTTTCCTGTACTGAACTATAATAGGCGCAGGAATCCCTGACCTTTCAGCTTTGGCAAAAAAAAAAAGGAAGCAGAAATGAGCAGTTATTTCATGTTGTGTCCTTTGCATCCTCAATAAGGCAGGAGAATTCTGGAGGAGTCCTTGAAGAATTGAATTCTAGGCAGTCTGTCCCAAGTTAATGTCATTCTTAAGTCATAGAAATCTAATGTGGAGTATAATATAATTGTCAGGATGCTTTGGATTCTAGAAAGTGAACATAGTTCTTCAAAAATTGAGTGAGGGCTGGGTAGTCAAACAACATGTTCCTGTTCATATACTATTTATTTCTTTGGGGGACAGATGGAACCTTAGTTTTATTAGAGCAAGACTGGTATTGCTGAGGGTAGGAAAAAGAAAAAAGGTCTTCTTTCTGTTTGAAGATTATGAATGGTGTTTTTTATCAGGATATATTAGGTTTAACTGTATGGCTTGGTTGAATTTCATCTGTTCTTGAGCCTGTCACTTTTGTTGAAACCTCAAAGATGATCTGCAAAACTAGGAGGCCATCTCTATATTTGGAATTAGATCTTAGTTTGAGGCCACACTTCTCTACAAAGAGTTTTTTATGAAATTCTATTTGCTTGACTACTGAAATAAGAAGATACAATAATATCTACCCCTTGGGTGGGGTACTGTAGTCCTGAATGGGAGACTGCATTTGAAACTGTTTTTAACTCTGAAGGCTCATTTAATAGTAATACCCATTGATACCAATATCTTACTCTCGGTTTTCATGTTAAGTGTCTTCCAGCAGAAGACATTCTTGTTCCTGGGGTTTAGATAGTACTTCAGTTGAGGCTTTTATCTGATACTTGAATTTATACTGTCAGTCTTCTAAAGGGTTAGGTTTATTTGACTCTCATGAAGTCATCTTTGATCTACTGGTGTAGTGTGTTTTGATTCTTGGCTGTAAGTATTTATCAGGCATGTTAATGCATGTGCTCTCTTACTCAGTACTATACTGAATTCTGTAAAACCACCTATATGCTGTGTTGAATATCCTCTTTAGCACATATATCCTTTGATTGGATATATGTGGAAACCTGCATTGTTCTGTGATTGAATGCTTTTTGGAAAGTTAAAAACAGATTTTAACACCATTTTTTTTTTTTTAATTTTTAACGTTTATTCATTTATGAGAGACAGAGAGCACAAGCAGGGTAGGGGCAGAGAGATAGGGAAACACAGAATTGAAGCAGGCTCCAGGCTCTGAGCTGTCAGCACAGAGCCTGACACGGGGCTCGAACTCACCAGCTGTGAGATCATGACCTGAGCTGAAGTTGGATGCCCAACCGACTGAGCCACCTAGGTGCCCTGATTTTAGCACCATTCTAATGATTCTTTATAATTATTTAGTTTTTCTTCTCTTTGTTCATTCTTTCCTTCATTTAACAGATACATACTGAGCTCCTACTATGTGACAGTATTTTAGGTGCAGGGGTTGCAGCAGTACCTAAAGAAAATTAGGGAGCAGATATCTGGCAGAACAGTTTCAGATCGAGAATAACAAACATAAAAGCCCCATGTTCAAAGGGGTAGAAGGAAGGCCAACTGTGACTGGTACAGGGGAGAGTGGTAGGAGAAAGGAGACTTGAGAGGTAGTAGAGGGGGTTAAGCCTGTGGAGCTTTTGTAGACCAAAAGGATTTTGGCTTTTATTCTGAGTAAATAGGAAGTGAGGATTTTGAGCAGAGAAGTAACACAATCTGATTTTACAAGGCTCCATCTGCTGCTATATGAAGCAAAGCTTGGATGGGCAAGGGTCAATTTAACATGCTATTGTAACTAGGGGTAGCTGTGGAAATAAGGAAAAAGTAGACCTGGTTTGGAGTCTAATATTATGTGTGTGTGAGTTTTAGTAGTATAGTACTGTTTATGAGAGAAAACACAGGAATTCTCCCTTCTTAATGCTTGCTCGGATGGGATTTGAAGGTGTCTAGAAGCTGGAGCTTCCTGTTTTCTCCCTAGTTAGGGAGCGGGTGAAATCAAAGCTATTTTTGTAATAATACAAAGTCATTGCTTGCCTTTTTCACTGTGCTGACACTTTTGCTGATGTCACAAAAGCAGTGGTGGGTAAAGTTATCAGAACCTGAGTATGAATCAAAGACCAAACTTGCTGGTATTTACTGTGTAGTCACATAATGCGTATGCCACATATTCGAGTTAAAAAAAAAAAGCCAGTTTCACTTAATGTCTTTGTTGAAGCTGTAGAAATGATTAATCAAGTCTTAATCTTGAGTACATACCTTTTTGATATTCTTTGTGACATAATACAGATTTTTCATGATGCTCTTCTGCATACTGAAGAGAAAATAAGGGAAAACATTTGTATAGTTCTTTGAGTTGTAAGCCAAACTAGCAGCTTTTGTCATAGAACACCATTTTTACTTGAAAGAACAGCTTCCAGACAAACTATGGTTTTTCCAATTTAGATACTTGGCAGACATTTTTCTGGAAAGTGAATGACTTCACAGAAGACAATTGGTAGTATTTATTGCCAATGAAGAAATTCAGACTTTGGATCAAAAATTACAATTTGGGAAACTTGTCTTTGTCACTTTGACAGTTTCCCAGGATCCAAAGACTTTTTCGGTTGGATTGATGGTATTTTGATTTTTTTTTTCTTTGTATAATGAAATATGTTGATATTTGGAAGATCTGCGTAACTCAATCAACTGGTATTTTTCAGATGATCAGAGCATGATGTTTCAAAATCATGTAAAAGATCCATTTAAAGTACGAGAGAAACCAATGGGTTTCAGTATAACTCAATGCAAAAAGTTTATTGATACAGTTTTAGATTTCACATTGCAGCTAACCTTTAAGACATGACTACTTACTGGGGTGTCTGGGTGGCTCAGTTGGTAAAGCATCCGACTTTGGCTTAGGTCATGATCTCACAGTTTGTGAGTTTGAGGCCTGCATTGGGCTCTGTGCTGACAGCTCAGAGCCTGGAGCCTGTTTTGGATTCTGTGTCTCCCTATCTCTCTGTCCCTCCCCTGCTCTTGCTCTGTCTCTCTCTCTATCTCAAAAATAAATAAATATTAAAAAAAAAAAAAAAAAAGAAATGACCACTGAGTTTTGGTATAGTAGCAAAGAGCACCTCCAATTATTTAAAAAGGCTATTAAAATACCCTCCTTTTTTCAACTGCATAGCTTCTGAATGTAGGTTTTCTTCAGATCAAAGCAAAATTTACACATTATTGAATGCAGAAATAATTATAAAAATCTAGTGTCTTCTATTAAGCCAGACATTAAAGAAGTTGATTTTAATTTTTAATTAAAGAGTTTAAAATAGCACCATTCCTGTCATTTATTTTTTGTTTTGTTTTGGAAAATGCAATTATTTTCCTCATAAAAAATTTTATTAGTTTGTAATAGAGTGATTGTAATTTTAAAATTAATAAAATTCTACATTTAATTTTAATTTCTAATATGGTAAATATCGATAGTTTTGTCCATATAAATAATCTACATAAAAGCTCTTTTTTTAAAAAAAGATCTTTAATAATTCTTTTTTTAAATAAGATTTCATTTTAAGTTATTTATTTTGAGAGAGAGTGAGCGAGCAAGGGAGGGGCAGAGAGAGGGAAAGAGAGAGAACCGCAAGCAAGATCCACACTGTCAGTGCAGAGCCGGATGCGGGGCTTGAACTCATGAACCATGACACCATCACCTGAACTGAAATCAAGAGTAGGATTCTTAACTGACCGAGCCACCCAGGTGCCCCAAAATCTTTAAGAGTATAAATGGGATCTTGAGACAAAAAGTTTGAAAACTGTTCATTTAGTAAAAAATTAACATACAGATTTCAGAGTCATGACTCATACAATTTCTAGATATATAATTTTAGGAAATTATCTAACTACTGTTAGCTTTATTCTTCTTACCTGCAAAATAGGAATAATATTTGTCTCACAGGGTATTGGGGTAAGATAAGGTTTATGTGGGGCGCCTGGGTGGCGCAGTTGGTTAAGCATCCGACTTCAGCCAGGTCACGATCTCGCGGTCCGTGAGTTCGAGCCCCGCATCGGGCTCTCGGCTGATGGCTCAGAGCCTGGAGCCTGTTTCCGATTCTGTGTCTCCCTCTCTCTCTGCCCCTCCCCCGTTCATGCTCTGTCTCTCTCTGTCCCCAAAATAAATAAACGTTGAAAAAAAAAAAAGATAAGGTTTATGAAGTATATATAGTACAGTACTGGGCACATACAATAGATGCCCTGTAAATCTAGCCTTTTGGTTGATAATTTGCATACTTTAGCACTGCAGTGGTCTTAATGTTACTGGAATATTTTTTATTCATTTGACAGGACAGAATTCAGTTTATTTACCAAGTTAGAACCACAGCATCTGATTTCAGATTTAAAAACTACATTGTGGAAAATTGGCAGAAGGTTATTTTAAGTTTTAGTATCTTTTATGTAACAAATTAGCTTAAGCAGCAGGTTGAGGTCTTAGAAAACTGAAGGGATAGTCGATGAAGCTTAACTAGGACATTTGAGCACTTAGTTTCATGGCATACTTGGCCAATAAAGCAAATCCAGTGTTGGCTAGAGAAGGAGTATGATGAAAAAATGATGATGATTTGCTTTTAAAATATTGAAGTCAAAGCATGATGTTTGTTATCTTTAATTAGAATATATTATTTCTGATTATGTACTTAATCTATAAAATGAGAGGGATTGGATAGTTGAATGCAAAGTCATTTCTAGTTCATAAATCTTCTAAAAATGTGATTAATTTAAACTTGTTACAGTAATTTTAATTTGTAAGCATCAGTAGGTACTGATGCTTTTGCCCTTTCACCTTTGTTTTCCTTGAAAGCTTAAGAAAATGGAGTAATAATGTAGGTGCATAAAGGCCTGCTTTCTTTACCTAGGTGCTCTGTCTAGACTCTGGTAAGTTCTCCTTAATTTGTGTAGTTTTTTGAATAGTTATTACATTCACATGCTACAAAATTATAAAAAGATGTAAAAGATACACTGTAAAAATAGTTTGCCTCCCACTCATCTTAACCCACTCAGTTACCCTTCTTAACAGCAACTGGTGTTATCAGTGCCTTGTTTTCTTCTTGTCACCATTTAGAACATGGTCTTTTTTTTTTTTCTCCTGGAAGATAGAGAAGTGAAGAAAGATAACTATTATTACCTTTTATACTATTAGGGCAAAAGTGGATATTCACAAATTTCTATGTTTGATTTTAAATGTCTTTTTTTACTGTCAAATTTGCATATACCTCCAATCTAGACTTCTTGGAGTTCCCATATTTTATAATTATCTCCACTTGGGAATCTCAGAGATACTTCAAAATTCATTTGTCAAAATGTTATTATTATTATTTTCCACCTTATCCCCTCCTACCTGGCCATCCAGTCCTTTATTAAATCACATCATTAATTATCTGGTTGCTCAAGCCTCAATTATTGGGATCATTCTTTGTCTCACCTCCTCCTCCTATCCACGCATATCTAATTAACAGGTTATTTTGCATCATTCTACTTTCTGTCTCTATTGCCACCATTTTGAACACAATTTTAATTTTTTTTTCCCTTGGAATGCTACACTGGACTCATATCTGGTCCCATGTCCCCCTTCCTTCACAAGAGTGATCTTGGAATGTCATTTGTATCATGTCATGTCCCTGTTCAAGATTCTTTAGTGCCTTCTCCACTAAAAAGTAAGTTCATATTTCTTACCATAGTTATAGAGCCTCACATGATCTGGACCTTGCCTGCTTCTCTGATATAATCTTTTGTACAAATGTCTCTTTTTTTTCTTTTCTGGCAATACTTGTTTTCTTTTAGTTCCTTGAATATGCCAGGTTATTCCTGGTCTCTGACTGTAATGCTTTTCTTCTTATTCTTTGATTTCTTAGTTTCTACTCCTCTTTAAGATCTCATTTTAAACATTATCTCATTAGAGAGGTTTTCCTGCCTGAAGAATCAAAGTTATGTATCCCTTTATTAATTTTTGTCTTAGCTCTTTGTTATTTTTCTGAACACCTATCATAATCTGTTTTGTCTCGTTTTCTGTTTTTCTGCTCTCTTTTGTTAACATAAGCTCCTTGAGTACAAGAATTATTTCTAATCATAGTGGTTGACTCTTTAATATCTAGCACTATGCCTAGAACATAGTAATGCTCAGTAAATCTTAAGTGAAGATGAATGGATTTTATCTCTGGGTAAAATGTTGGGAAAAATAACAGAACCTTTGAACTTCTAATTTACATTAAACTATAATAATGACTCTAGAATCAAGTAAACTAGATTATGAGAAAAAATTTTAATAATAGTAATATGTGATTATATATAGAAATTATATTGACTGACAGGTGTTCTATCCTGGAAGCAATGCAATATGACATGAAACCCTTGCTGATCAGAGCAGGGGTCTGCATACATAATTAAAGGGCAAGATAGTTATACCGTTGTTGAATCACTCTGTTATATACCTGAAACATTGTGTGTGAACTATACTTCCATTAAAAAAAATTTTTTTTAAGTGCAAGATAGTAAATATAGGCTTGCAGGCCTTATCATCTGTTGTGTGAAAGTAGCCATCAACAATGAGAAAGAATGAAATCTTGCCATTTGCAACAACATGGATGGAACTGGAGGGTATTATGCTACATGAAATAAGTTAGTCAGAGAAAGATAGATATCATATGTTTTCACTCATTTGGAATTTGAAAAACTTAGCAGAAGACCATGGGGTAAGGGAAGGGGAAAAAATAGTTTCAAACAGAGAGGGAGGCAAATCAGAAGAGATTCTTAAATACAGAGAACAAACTGAGGGTTGATGGAGGGAGGTGAGGGAGAGGAGAAAATGGGTGATGGACATTGAGGGAACTTGTTGGGATGAGCACTGGGTGTTGTACGTAAGCGATGAACCACGGGAATCTACTCCTGAAGCCAAGAGCACACTATACGGTGTTTGTATACATTGACAATAACTTGATAATAAATTATATTAAATTTTTTTAATTTAAAAAAGAGAGAGTAGCTATCAACAATTCATAAGCAATCAGCAGGTGGTTATATTCTAATAAAACTTTATTTATGTCATATCCCTGAATTAGAGAGTGAGAATGTATCTATATTGGAAACAGATGGCAAGTTTGTGCCCTACAATAAGCCTACCCCTTCTTTTTGCCTTCATTTATTGCTATCCTTAGGATTATAGCAGTAGAAAAATAATAAAGCTATTTCTAGTATCTTAGAAATATTCACATCGAAGAAGCAAGTGGGCAAGTAAGCTTATTTTAGTCAGGCGACATACCTGGGTGATGATTCTTTAGGTAAAATAAGATGTCCAGTACAAAGGCTTTTGTAAGGAAGACTTTTGCTTTTAAAATCGTTAGGGACATGAATAAATATTTGCTGCAATTCTAGCAACCTTTCTTATACCCCATTTATCTTCTATTTATTTTTAAGCAGCATATTGTAATATTATTCACATACCATACATTTGAACCATTTAAATTATACAGTTAAATGGTTTTTGTTGCATTCAAAGTTCTGTAGCCATTACCACAATTTGAGAACATTTTCATTCTCTAAGAAGTCCTGTACTCTTGACCTTTTACTTCCTCCTCCCCCCCCCCATTTGCCTCAGCCCTAGATAACCGCTAATCTGCATTCTCTATAGATTTGATTATTCTAGACATTTCATATCAATGGAATCACAATATATGGTCTTTATGACTGGCTTCTTTCACTTAGCACATTGTTTTCAAGGTTCATCCATGTTATAGCATGTATCAGAACTTTATTCCTTTCTGTTGCCAAATAATATTCCATTGCATAGATGTACCTCATTTTATTTATAGTTAATGGGCATTTGAGTTGTTTCTACTTTTTGACTATTATGAATTATACCGCTATCAACATTTGTATGGCAGTTTTTGTGTGAACATGTTTTCATTTTCTTGGATATATACCTTTGGCTGGGCCATGTGGTAACTGTGTTTTTCAAAGTATTTTACTTTGTATGAGGATTTATTTCAATTTCTCCTCCTTGCCAATACTTGTGTTACGTCTTTTTGATTATAACCATCCTAGTGAATGTAAAGTTGTATCTCATTTTAATGGTTAATGATTTTGAGCATCTTTTCATGTGCTTATTGGCCATTTGTATATCTTCTTTAGAGAAACAGCTATTCAGATCCTTTCCTGTTTTTAAATTGGTTTTTTTAAATTATTTAGTTGTAAGAGTTCTTTATATATCTGGATACTATCAAACTTATAATTTGCAAAATATTTTCCTCCCTAGGTTCTCTTTTCACTTTCTTGATGCCATTCTTTGGAGCAAAAAACATTTTAATTTTAATGAAGCCAATTTATTTTTGCTTTTGTGCTGTGCTTTTGATGTATCTGAGAAGTCATTACTTAATTCAAGGTCACAAAGATTTACTCCTTTGTTTTGTTTTGTTTTCCAAGGGTTTTAATAGTTTTAGCTCTTATAGTTAGGTCCATGATCTATTTTTTCTTAATTTATTAAAAAAAATGTTTATTTTTGGGAGAGAGAGAGAGTAGAGGAGAGGCAGAGAGAGAGAGAGAAAGAGAGACAGACAGACAGAATACCAAGCAGGCTCCTTGCTGTCAACACAGAACTCAACGTGGGGCTCAAACTCACTAACCAGGAGATCATGACCTGAGCCCAAACCAAGAGTTGGACGCTTAACCAACTGAGCCACCCAGGTGCCCGTAAATTTATTTTTGAGAGAGAGAGACACACAGAGAAATGCATGCAGGGGAGGGGCAGAGAGAGAAGGAGAAAGAGAATCCTAAGCAGGATTTGTGTTGTCTTGTGGAGCCCTACATAGCGCTCAAACTAATGAACCATGAGATCATGACCTGAGCCTAAATCATGAGTCGGACGCTTAACTGACACTCAGGTGCTGCCTGTCCATGATCTATTTTGAATTAATTTTTGTGTATGGTATGATTGATCTGTTGATATTTAGGAGTGTCTTTATGCAAGTACATACTGTTTTGGTTACTGTGGTTTTGTAGTAAGTTTTGAAATTTGTAAGCCTTCCAACTTTGATGTTCTTTCTCAAGATTGTTTTATATATTCTGGGTACTCTGAATTTTTATATGAACTTTAGGATCAGCTTGTCAGTTTCTTCAAAAAAGCCAGTTGGGATTTTGATGGAGATCGTTTTAAAATTATAGACCAATTTGGGGAGTATTGTCATTTTACCAGTATTTAAATCCATGACTTCAGGATGTCTTTCTGCTTATTTAGGTATTATTTAATTTCTTTCATCGATATTTTATAGTTTTAGGAATATGTCTTGCACTGTTATTTTTATCTTTCATTTCTATGTAACAACTCCTCTGTCTCTCAACTATCTGATACTCTTCGTTTTATCTAGAGTATTAGAATAGAGTGTCACAGGAAAATGCTTAGATATCAGCTTGTTCTTTTAGCTTCAGAGTTTAGAAAGGGTTTTTTACTTTGGTTCATTTTTTGAATGAACTGAGAGGAAAGTGGGGGAAGTCTGATTGTCTTTTCCCATACTAGATTTGAATAAATCTTCATTGCAGGATAGATGAGCAGGAAAAAAAAGTCATTTGATAGTCTTTGAAAAATACTCATTTAAAAGAAGTATCATCAAAGTATCCTGAAGATACTGTTAAGTAAAGGCTTGACAGTATAGAAAATTAAATGAATGATGTAAAAAAAAAAATTTGAAAACAGACTGTAGAGGAAAAAGAAAAATTAATGAGGGATAAGTTATAAATACAGAGTTATACCTCTATAGATTTCATTTGATAAGTAATATGTACTTTCAGATAATAAAACAGAATAACTAGAACAGAGGCAATACTCAAAGCTACAAGTAAAGAAGAAAAACATTTTTTGATCTAAAATTGGTTCAGACTCCAAAGTTACAACTCATAGAAAATTAATGAAAAGAGATTCTGTGTATCTTGGTGATATTTTAAATTTTAATGAAGAATTCTATACATATATAAGTAAAGAGCACAGATTGCTATTGAACAAATGAATATCAGTTTGGCCTCAGACCTCTGCAATATTAGATCATACTTGCTGTGACATCCTCTAACTGTAGAATTCTTTCTAGTCAGGTATTCATTTTTGAAAGCAACAATAACATTCTAGAA